GAATTCTCGTTACACACATTTCTTTAGTATTGAAATAAGTACACAACATACAACATACATTTAATCCTATGGTTTTTTTTTAAATTACAAAATTTACTAATAATAGCTTTTTTTTGATTCAATAAATAATATATTAATTTCAAATAATGATCACATAAAAATCTTCTACAATGTGAACTATACATTCCACATACCATATATATATAACTATAGTCCATATACTTATCTATGACGTAATTATAATAAATATAACAGTAACAGAAACTCATTTATAAAATAATGACATAAAAAAAATCCTCATTGTACACCTGCTCCCTTAAGGCGTCAAACCGTAAATCGCTGATTGTCAAACAGGTTTTATTTTTCCATGAAAGTTTTTCTTTCAAAGCCTATAACTAGTATTGTTGTTTTCGTTAATGAGCGCCGTGATGATTGATGACGTCAAGCTATGGCTATAGTTCATAGACATCGCAAAATGTATCACGCGAACCTCTGAGGCCTGACGAATCTGAATTAGAACGAAGCTTTATATTATAGCGTATTTATTTAGTATATTTTTTTATTGTTACAATTAAGCTGAGGCCAAATTTAATGCGAATGTTTCTTAATGTTTTTTGCATACGGCCCACTTTATAGTGAACGGTCACAAATCCAAACAATTATCTCCTGCTGAGATTTCTTCACAAAACTCGTACAACCGATATGATAAGTTGAGAGTGCTTGATAGCACTGTGGCGGGAAACTAACTTACTTACTGGTGATAGGACCTCTTGAGAGTCCGCACGGGTACCACTGCCCCGCCTATTTCTGCCGTGAAGCAGTAATGCGTTTCGGTTTGAAGGGTGGGGCAGCCGTTGTAACTATACTGAGATCTTAGAACTTATATCTCAAGGTGTGTGGCGCATTTACGTTGTAGATGTCTATGGGTTCCAGTAACCACTTAACACCAGGTGGGCTGTGAGCTCGTCCAAACATCTAGGCAATAAAAAATAAAATAAAAAATCATTCCAAAGCCGGATGGTACGCTGGATGCATCTAGCATGTTATAATAGAGTATCAAGTGTAACAAGCCTGTAGAAGAGGATGAATAAATCGCGTCGTCACGAGGCAAAATATCCCTAGATCAAAGTTCGTTTCGCTCCAACACACTACAAGGCGCGACGTTGTGCTGCGGAAATAGGGCTGTTAATGTTATTATATCATTTATATAATTCAGTTTTTTATGCGAATCAAAGAAACAGTGACGTAAAACTAATATTCAGAAGGAAGCCGTCGGAGCTCGAGGAAAACGCGTTTCTTAACTAACACAAAATATATCATACGTTTTATTAAAAAAAATACTATTAGGATATTTTTATTCTGATAATACCTAATCAATAAAGTTAATAATCTTACTTACATTTACATCGAGCACTGTAATATATTCGAAACATCAGAAATAATATGATGTTAAAAACGCCAGATTAACTGTAAAAGTTGTTTTAAATAATTTCCGTAGCTAGTCAAATGCTAAATATACTAACAAACCGGAAGACCCAGATACTACGTATATTTTTTTCTTAGAATGTGTGAAAGCACACACAATATAAACATTATGATAAAACATGGATGTGCAATAATAATAAATTGAACTTACGAGCAGCCCTGATGAAGGCAATGTCCTTCGAAGCGGAGTACAGAACAACATTGTGATGATTTAACTGACTCTCACAATGAGCAAAAATAGTCCTTTCCGACACGCACAAGCTTGAAATATTAGTTTTGTACTTGAGTGCACTCGTTAATAAATAAAGTTGTATTCCTATAGTGTGTGCCTACAAATTACTTGTATTGTGTGGCGTTTGACGTGCTTTATTGTTTTACTAACGACTACGTATTTAACCGAGAGCGATAGAGAATAATTTGTTGAAACACACACTTCAGTGATGACTGATATAACTCAAAAAGGGCGTAAGAGTTTCAATGCTAAATGAAAAATAAATCATAATTATGAGCCCATAAAAGTTTTTAAAGTACTTAAGAAATTAACTCCCGAAATCCGAACACTAACACTTTTACGTATAAATAATTGCCTGTAAAACCACGGGACTCCGTGACGTTGAGCAATTACCGGAGTGTGTTCCAAATTAATTTACACCGAAACAAAACAATTTTAATATGAGCATTAGAATTTTTGTCTCTATTTCGAGCGCGTGCGTGCCTCTTCATAATTCCCTAGAATCATTGCCTTACGCTGATTATGTGAAAAATTTTATTTTCCATGCTGACGAACCGCAGTTTCATTGTGTTCGTTTTATTCATGTTCTCCACTACCATAACATTCTCATGTGAAATATGATATAAAAACAACTAATCAAATCAAAATTAGAACACCGGAAATGTTTACTCAAAATTCCATGTCGAATCACGACGTTAAATAATTTTTTCGCTCATAGCAGGACATTTCCCAGGTTTCATAATGTTAAATAGAACAACTCTAGTGTGTAAAATGAAGTCAAAGTCCTTTACAATACATTTACATGTCTGCTCAGAGACACCGTTCCCCGTGAAACGATTGCAAATCCCCATAGATGATAATAATATCAGTTATACCACCAAACTGAATCCAAGCACAAATCACCGCTGACCAGCTCTAACTCGTTCTATAAATAACGATAACGCTGGACAAAATTCTGTTATAATTCACAAGCAGACCTTTAATATAACAGCCATGCGGCCGGGCATTAATCAAATACATGGAACGGGTTTATACAAAGGCAGGCGAGTTAAATAAAATAATAAATAAGCCTCAGCATTCCATGAGATTTATTTCGGAGAAAAAACCGTGGCCGGGTAAGAGCCGGGTCTTGTCGCAGTATGTTTATTGTCGTACCGGTGTCGCCTCACAATGTACGACTTTAATTAATGCTGTGCCCCTTACTCTCTGAGATATATTGTATTTCGAGCCTGTGTCTTTTAAAGTGATTCTTTTTCTAACGAGATACGAGACCACTTAAAACATTGACGCTATAATATACAAAACGGACTTTATCAGATTAAACACCAATTACGAATAAAACAATGTAAATGAAGGTGATGTATTGTATCCTGTGTAAGTTTCAATCTGATTATAATCTGAGCATGGGAAACGGGCGGTTCTTCCCGTCAAAAATACTACAGGTACACTGCACAGTCAGACATCAGGGTAACAATACTGCAGATAATAATGGACGCCAGCTGACGGGAGGTGTCTCATCGGCCGTTGTCATAGCAACCGTGCGAAGGGTGGCTAACCTGTCACGACAACATATCACCGGTCTTAACGAAAACAGCCATAGTCGTCCCTTTCCAGCGCACGGATTTTGAACTCTCGGTCGTAAACCTGAGAGGCCTATTTGTCGCACCATCAAACTTCTCTTACGGCCTTTCTTCCTGATGACATTATTGAGTTGCGTGTATTGTACTTTCGGGTTCCATCTTTGCTTTTTAAATTTAGAATGGATATGACTATCTCTCTCTAATGCATCGACACAATATCTCTGATCCTCACTAACCGCACTTGTCTAATTATTCTATTCTCTTTTTATGACATTTTAAACAGTTTTTAAGTTTTTGTTGAAATAACTGCACCATTAATGTTATTGCGGCAGTAAAAACGCAGTTCGGAAAATTTATGGTTCATGTTAATGTAGCCTCTGAGTTTCATTTGAGTCACACATCAACTTTGCATATTTTTTTATTTGTTCAGATTTGCTTAAGTTTTTGTACGTACATTTAACAATTTTATTGTGTTATTAATTAAGTTATATATCTTTAATATGATAGGTAGTTGATGATCCATAATTTTATTGAATTATCTATTTATTGGACAATCGGTATTGCCGTTCAATGTAGAGAATAAAATATTTCAACGAAGTTGTTAATGTAATTAATTTAAAAAGTTCTTTGATGTAAAATCAAATACCGAATTATGCCATCTCCAACTGATAGCTCATTACAAATTATTCTTTGAATTTTCTAATTGAAAAGTGAATATTAAACAGAATATGTAATAGTTTTTAAGTAGACTACATCCATTAAAAGCTTAACTTATTTCTCTACTTACATTTTAACACTTAGCTTAAAACACCGAACTTAAAACATACCTATATGTATACACATCAATTAAAATAATCCATTAGCCATATCTACACGTTCTAAAGCCGATCAGGTAACTTAGGCCCATCCTACACATTCCGAGTCATTCGGCTGGCCCACTATCAATTTTATACGCGATGGGAAGGCTATTTATCTTGCCTTATTTATTATCGAAAACGAGTTTCGAGATGCGACTGCTTTGTGGAACATTTACCTCCCTATACCTATATATGAGTATATCGGGCCTGTATTGTGTGTATGTGAGAAATCTCCGCACTTAAACTCAACGCTCGAGTTAGATGAGGCATTAAAAATATGAACAGTATCTAGTGTAAAGGGTTGACTTTCACAAATTCCAAGAATATATCTCGATATTGACAAGAATAAGGTATAGCGTTACAAAGAATTAGAAAGTTACGCAACCCTTCTTTACGCATCCCTGACTTTTTGTAGCGATTTCTTTTTTCAAAGGAGTCTATTGTTCGCGGACCGTTTGCTGCTAACCCTTTCCGTTACTTTTTAAAGATATTGTTTTACTTTATTTTTATTGTGAAAATAGCATTGAGTACACGAGGTGGTGCACCTAAAAAGATTTTTATTCATTGTCGGAGCGCCGTTTCATGTGACTCGTAGCTCGTATCAAATAATATGATTAAGGTTGGTCGGTAGCGATTAATTCTGAAATTAACTTTAGTGGATGCAGTAAAACTTAACGAGCTATTAAAATCTAAAACGGAATAAAAGTGAAATTTAATGGTTCTCTCCCGGAGCGCGTTGCGAATTCGAACCGTGATATATGATGCAGTAATTCGATTTGTAAAACATTACCTGAGTCATAGTTATTTTGTTCGTCGTGTTTAATTCGTTTTCATTTTTGTTTCCAGGTCCAAACGGATGTCCGCGAAGGCGAGGACGACAAACTTACACTAGGTTCCAGACTCTAGAACTAGAAAAGGAATTCCACTTCAATCACTATCTGACGCGCCGCCGCAGGATAGAAATAGCACACGCGCTATGCCTCACCGAGAGACAGATCAAAATATGGTTTCAAAATCGACGCATGAAACTAAAGAAAGAACTCCGAGCCGTGAAAGAGATAAACGAACAGGCTCGCCGCGAAAGAGAGGAACAGGACAGAATGAAGCAGCAGCAACAAGAGAAGCAGGCCAAGCTGGAAGGCCAGCATCACGGACACCACGTCACACATCATCACGACCCGATGAAGATGCCTATCGATAAGGGCTCCAATGACCTACTCAAAGTGAACAAGGTCCCCACGTAAGGTGTCCCCGACACCGAATAGAAAATCTTGACTGATTCTGTATCATATAGTGTGAAATGTATGGAAGTGTTGCGTCCAAAGGGACCCGGCGGTGTTAGTCGATTCGTATCCACTAGTTTTATATTTTGCGGCTGATTCGGAAGTGTCGTCTTGTTGTGAAGGTGTGTCGTGACTATTGTTTTGTAATGTTCCTTTAGTGCAGAGGACTCGCCTCGATGTCGGTCGCTGGGTGGACAGGCTGGTGATGTGCTTTAAGCATTTATTTTGTTGCCATAACCACACCTTGTATTGCAATAATATTTTACTAAAATTTACAAAAGCGTTAGAATCGCTCTATGATTTACTTAGGAAGCCCGAGTGAACTTCGGTGTTGTTAGTTAAGATTTAAAATCTGTGAATCTCATAGTATTTATTGCTACCACTTACTCTAATCCATTTAGTTATTTTTTTATTAATAGAAATTATATTATGTACATTTTGATGTATATTTTATTATTTGTCCGCTGTTAGCGGGCTGGTTATGTTTTGGTCGAATTTTTTTATGATTGTAAAATTTTGTTGTATTTTATCAGTTGATTTCAAAAGAGTTACTTTTATTTGACCAGATTGTGATTCATTTTCTGATAGTTAAGTCCGTAAATTGTTATATTATTATCATTTGATTCTTTAATTTTTGTAGTATAAATATTATCAGAATAAATACCTGCATAGTTATTACTATTAGGAATTAAATTTAAAAACAAAATACGTATGGAAGTACAATCTCTTTAGGTCTTCGTCGAGTGAAATATTTCTTTTTAAAATTTCCGTCTTCAGGAACGATAGGTATTTAAAAATTAGATCGTATTTTTTGATGATTCTAGTGTAAAATGTCTCGTTCGTAAATAAAACTGGTCGATCAAAATGAACAAAAAGAGATCGTTATTTCGATCGTCATAACGACGTTGTCCAAGTTCTTTGAAGTCATCCGATGTTCAAAAAATATATACGTAACAATGATACATATAATAAATTACAATAATGTGACGTTAATATAAATTTTACACGTATAATTAAAAGTTGAGTAGTTTAAGTGTATTATATAAGCATATAGGTTCTACTTTGTATGAAGTATTGCTAAGTCTAGGTACCTAAAACGTAACTAACTTGGATTTCGCATTGGTCGAGCGCTATTCGTAATTTAGTTCAAAAATAGCAAGTTCCTCTTTCAACGAATCAAAGGGAAGTATCTAAGTGTTTTGCTAAATATAGGTACTTCAGTTTCTTAAAAATAATCAAAAAGAATATCTAAAATTGCAGTAACAATGCAAAAGTTTCAGCGTATGCATTTGATTTAATACGAAAATTATTAGTACCATAATGATCGCTTTTCATTCGTATTGTGCCAAAATATTATGTAAATTAACATAATTGCAGCACGATTCTCGCAGAAACCTCAGCGCTTAGTTCATGTTTCATTTAAATATTCCCTCTATACGTAATTACAAAGCAAATATTAGAAATTAAATGAAATTTAGTCTTGTTAGTCACCATTATACGTAAATTAACGCCAGGGTAGAATTAATAAAGTTAATGATATCTGTATTTAAGTAAATCGTGTTTGGGCTTCATTTTTATATGTCACACCACTCTTTCTGTCCAATAACCGTGAAATTATTAATTAATCTGATAATTAATCTGATAGCATTTAAAGTGAATGTCGTGAAATCATTAGTGAATGATAAGTCGATAAGATTAATCGCTTCTTGTTTAGGACATCATAACTTCTAGAAGACAAAAAGGGCAATATCGGTTGGCAAGAATCACTAAATTACACAAGCTTATGACGTCATAACATATTGAAAGCTATTCGGAAAGCCATTATGGAATCACTCCAAAAAACTAAAAGTAAATTAATCAACATAGTTAAGATAATATAGTGCAGTATTGTCTCTTTGAGATAAACATATTTTCCCATATTAAGGTGTGCAATAATTAAAACACACACATTTCATTAAAGCCATATTCTTTAATCTAAGATTAATTACAATTTAAGGTTGTCGTTAGTAATAACTCTATCCCATCTTATTTAAATTAAATAACATGGTTTTATTCGAACAAAATGTACTTAAGTAACTTCGATTTAAGTAGGCTTTATAAATTATATAAAAAAAAAATCGCATATAGTCTCTAAATTAATCGCAGGTACTTGTACTAAACGTTAAGTTAACGTGGGTCAGACGGTTAGCATTTCAATTAACGTAAACAAAAACGCTTAACATTATTTAGTATCGTTCGTAGCGAAAAACTGTACAAAGTGGAAATTTGATGTAGTTACAAAAGGGCGTATGTACACCGGCGCATTGCACATGGTACGGTACGTAATATGAAGTTGTTGTGCTTACTTTTGAATTTACAATCGTTATTCGTTTGCATTTAAATAATCTGTCAACGAAAACTATGGAAACATTCGAAATAACTAACAACAGGCTTCGCCCAAATTTTCCCTTTCAATCAAATGTAACCTTCGTAACATACACACTAGTTATATTTAGGTATGTACGTCCATTGATTTATGTCAGGTACACTTTATTGTTTCTGAGTCGTAAAGAATTGTAATTTACGTGAAACAATGAGCAATTTTCTTAAAGATTAGATACGTCCTCCATCTGTAATGCTGTCTTGCCATATTGTAAGTTTCTTAGTCGGTACCTAACTGATATTTTTCATGCTATTGAAATTATTATCGAATTATTTTATTGCGTCCTCCGTTTTTTTTTTTTTTAATAATTATATCTCTAAATTTATTCTGTTATATTAAGTTTAATTGTTGTAAACGTTATAGTATTTTCTTTTGATGTTTTTTTATTTAGGGATAGCAAAACTTTTTTGATTGCCTATCATTAATAAAATCGATCAATTCTATCTTTAATATTAAATGTAGTTATGTATCTATGTACCTATATCTATATTTTTGAGTATAGTAACTAAAATCGTCTAAAATTAAGTAAATGTACATAGTCGTGAAAGTTTTATGTGGCGCATTTTTTTTTTTGGTTATGTTATGTATTTTTATTGTGTCGTTCACCCATTGGATTGAACACGTTCATTAGAGATTGTATGAATGTGGTATCCACAGTACATGAAAGTTTCAGTATCGAAACATTATTGAACGTGGTCAAACAGTATGTAATAGGCGACGATACAACGTGAGTGTCGCGGTACGTAAGCAAATAGTTGGGTTATTGTATATGAAGCCCACATTCAATATTGTAATATTAATTTCAAAAATTCAAGAGAATAAAGAGTTAATAAAAACGTATGTCTGTTCTATTTATTTCGGCTCACAACTTGAACCTTATTTCACCTGCTTTAAAATTGCATCTATGTGACGCGACGGTTTTTTAAATTTTTCATAACCTAATTTTTTGTATGGCTCTAATAAAGAATAAAAAAAAAATTGCTCAGAAGTTTTCTATGTATCGAATATATAATTCGGGGACAACCCGAACAGCCTCCTGGTCGCGATAGGGAGCCGCTATTGCTGCCCTATACTGAGGCACTGGAATGAAGTCCATGTTGGCTCAAGACCAGCCATGGTCAATGTAAAATAAATAAAATGTACTTTTTTCGTATTAATAACACTTCATATGGAATTTAATTCCGAAATAAAAAAATATTATTATTATTATGAACAACAAATTAAACATCAGCAAAATGTAAACAATAGTAAGAGTTTACAAGAACGTTAAAATTTTATTTTAACAACATAAATATTATCGTATATTTGAAAAGAGAAATATTATAAATAAAACAGAATATTAAATATTAGAGACAAATATTATAAATAAAACAGAATATTAAACATTAAATATAGGTACATGCTATTTAAACAGATTTGTTTAAATTTTTGTTGATTTTCAGACTCAAATATTGGATTTACAATCGTTAGATTTAAGTCTAGATTCACAGACGATTTCAAATAATAATGTTAAAATAAATAAAAAATTAGGGACAATACGGTCATCTGACCCTGGAATTTCCTTTCCTAAACACAATTCACTTTTTTACTTTTTATGTGATTTATGTATGTTTTATTACGAGTCTAGTCGAGAGTGGTCTAAAACACGTTTAAAATTTTATAAGTAAAATGTTATAATAAAAAAATAATATAAGTTAACATAAATAATAAACAAAATTTAAAAATAAAAATTTACGGTCTATGTAAAAATAAATCTATTGCATCTACAACACTACCATTATCACCCTCAGGATTTTAGAATTCTTACTTGACTTCTAGTTTAAAAATCCAAAATGTGTGTAAAATTTGTTACATATGCTAAATTATAAAAAATTGAGTTAAACTTTCATAAATGCCCCTTCCAACTACCGGTCCGCTGATTTAAGACGATAATATGCTGTGACATTTTTTTATTTTTTTATTGCTTCGGTGCGTGGACGAGCCGCCCACCTGGTGTTAAGTGGTTACTGGAGCCTATAGACATCTACAACGTAAGTGATTGAAATATAAGTTCTAAGGTCTCAAATATGGTTACAACGACTGCCCCACACCCTTTAAACCGAAACGCATTACTAGTTCACGGCAGAAATAGGCGGGGTGGTTGTACCTGCCCGTGCGGACTCACAAGAGGTCCTACCACCAGTAAAATTATTATTTTGGATATCAAATTCGTAAATTTCCAGAGGTTTTGTGTCTCCGGGTAAAGTAGCTTACAAAGGGAGCTTTAATTGTTAGGCCACGGACGCGTTTTTATTTTTAAACTGTCACTGTATTATCCATTCAGCTTATTTACTAATAATGTAAATTTTAAAATTTGGCAACAACATGATATTATTTGTTTTCTATTTTTCCTAAGCATTTTAGTTTCTAATGACTTTTTCGATTTTCACAAGTCGTTGATTTCATTATTTTACTCACTAATATGCAAATTCTATTTTATAAAGAGGAACTTATAATTTCAATTAGTATATACTGTAAAAACCTGTTTACAAATAAAATC